ATCTACTAAGTTGTTTTATTAAACCAAAGGTTTTTTTTAAATGTCTATTTATTTTGAGAGAGAGAAGGAGAGAGATCCCAAGCAGGCTCCACTCTGTCGGTGCAGAGCCCAACACGAGGCTTGATCTAATGAACTGTGAGATCGTGACCCGAGCAGAAATCAGGAGTCAGATGTTTTACCCACTGAGCCACTCAGGTGCCCCTCCACCAAATTTGATTTTAGCTTTTTTTTTGAAATAACTTCAAAATTCCAGAAAAGTTGTAAAAATAGTATAAAGAATGCCGTTTACCCTTCACCCAGATTCATAAACTACTACTACGTTTTGCCACAATTGCCTTATCAGTCTGTGTGTGTGTGTGTGTACAGGCATAAAGGCTTGTCTTGGAATGTTTGTGCACACGTGCGTGCATACATACATACACCTTTTCTGAACTATTTGGATTAAATTACAGAGCTCATGCTTCTTTCAATATTTCAGGGATATTCTATTACATAACCATTAGGTACAGTTTTCAAAATCAAGAAAGTTGACATTGACACTATAATCATCAGCAATACTGTAACCTGCAGACCTTTGCCAGTTTATTCTAATAAAGTCCTCGAGAGCACACTTTCTGGGCCCAGAATCTGTCGCATTGCATTTAGTTGTCATGTCTCCTTACTCTTCAGTCTGAAACAGTTCTCCAGTTTCTGTCTTCTGTGATACATTTTCTAGAGTAAAAAGGCCAGAGGGTTTGTGGACATATTTGTGTCCCATTGGGAGGCCATTATCGATAATGTCATTGTTGATCTCTTACTCGAGGCAACGCCTACTGTCTTCAATGCACAGTTGGTTGTTTTCCCTTTGTAATTACTATGCTATGGAGATAATTTGAGACTGTCCCAGCCATTGGTAATTCCAGTGTGAATCAGTGGTTACAAAATAGTGACTTTTGCTTGCATTATTACATTTACATTTATTAATTGGCATTCTGTAAGGAAGAGGTCTAGCTTCCCTTCCTGTTTATTTTTTATTATCAGTAGGAACTCATGGATTCTTATTTTATACAAGGAGTTACAGTCTATGAGGTCATTATTTGTTTTGATGCTCAAGTTGATTCAGACTTGACCCCTGGAAATTCAAGTTGGCTCTTGAGGCTTTTTCCACATGCCCATCTTTTTTTGAGCACTTCTTACCTTTTGCGGGGGCTGAAAAGATGTTCCAGGGTCACCTGGTACTGTACCTGCCCCAGCCATGGGGTCAGCCATGCTCCCAGGCACTCTGATTCCTTTTAGAGAGGATGGTATTTAGAAACCAGATCTGAGTGGCAAATAAGATTTCTAGTTTCCAGTATTGTTTTAGAGACTTGAATGTTCCAAAATCTTCACGTTTTTTCAGTTTTGTATTCTCTTGTTCATGATATTAGTTTTCCACAAATATTTAGCACTTTGGTGTAGTTGCTAATCTTTGCGTTACTGAACCCCTGCTCACATCAGTTCAGTGTTCCTCAGCTTCCTGTTTTTATCAGGAAGTGATGGGGTAATAGCTGTTTGTTAGAGCAAAAATTGAGAAATGATCCTTTCTGGGGCACCTGGGTGGCTCAGTCGGTTGAGTGTCTGACTCTTGATTTCAGCTCAGGTCATGATCTCACGGTTTGTGGGTTTCAGCCCCGCATCGGGCTCTACACTGACAGCGAGGAGCCTGCTTGGGACTCTCTCTCTCCCTCTCTCTCTGCCCTTCCCCCACTCATGCTCTCTCTTTCTCTCTCTCTGTCCCTCCTCCCCTCAAAATAAAATTAAAAGAAGTGATACTTTCTCTTTGCCTACTCAAGAGGATTCAGGCTTTTCCCGCTCCACATTTAACTCGCCCCCCACCCCCACCGCCCCTCAGCAAGTTTTGTCACTCTTAGGCCAGGTTTGGGGGGGCTTTCTTGATGCAGGATGGAGGAACGCTGCTCAGACCAGAGCTGATGATGTTTGATATTTTCAAGAGAAACCTAGGATGCCAGCGTTGCTGCAGAGCAGCAGAGGAAAGGAGAGCTTTAAGAAGCATCTTTTGGGGCCCCTGGGTGGCGCAGTCGGTTAAGCGTCCGACTTCAGCCAGGTCACGATCTCGTGGTCCGGGAGTTCGAGCCCCGCGTCAGGCTCTGGGCTGATGGCTCAGAGCCTGGAGCCTGTTTCCGATTCTGTGTCTCCCTCTCTCTCTGCCCCTCCCCTGTTCATGCTCTGTCTCTCTCTGTCCCAAAAATAAATAAACGTTGAAAAAAAAAAATTTAAAGAAGCATCTTTTACAGGGGCTCCTGGGTGGCTCAGTCGATTAAACGCCAACTTCAGCTCAGGTCGTGATCTCATAGTTTGTGAATTCGAGCCCCACATCAGGCTCTCTGCTGTTGGCAAAGCACCCGCTTTGAATCTTCTGTCCTGGTCTCTCTGTCTCTCCCCCACTTGTGATCGAAACTCTCTCACAGAAACAAACATTAAGAAGAAAAAAAAAAAAAAACAGATCAGCCCCCTACTTCGGCTCAGGTCATGATCTCACAGTTGGTGGGTTTGAGCCCCATGTCAGGCTCTGTGTTGACAACTTGGAGCCTGGAGCCTGCTTCAGATTCTGTCTCCCTGTCTCTCTGCCCCTCCCCCACTCTCTCCCTCTCTCTCTCTCTCTCAAAAATAAACATTAAAAAAATTTTTTAAAGGAGCGTCTTTTACAGACCATATATCCTCTCCACAGTGTTTCTGAAATAAAAAAGTTGTTTCTGAAATAAAAGTAAAGGTCAGGCGTTGCTTTGACAGTATGTTGTGGTCTGGGAACATGCGTCTGGACTGCTGCGGGTAAGGTTATCCATGTCTTCTGGGAGCTTCCTGCCTCCACGGGCAGTAGCCAGCCTGCAGTTGGAGGCCCAGGATCGCCCCGCACTGCCTAGGTCGGGGCAGAGGCCACCGCCACCAGCCGCTTTGCACAGGCAGGGGACGGCTGGGACCCCGGGCCTGCTGCCCCTCAGCTGTATCGCCTCTGCTCATCCCCTCAACTGTCTTAGGGGCTCAGTTTCAGTTTGGGGTTCCCTCGAAATCACTCCCATCTCCAGGAGTCTCAAAGGTTTTGGGTTATGATTTCCTACTCCTATTTCATTTTATACTTGATCCCTTCTACTTCCCATTTTTCAGGAACTAGGAAAATGTTCTGATCTGCTTATGGTGCCCTTTCTTGTTTTTCAATATTGTTTTTGAATATATTTATGATTTTTTTCTCCCCATCAAATTTGGGGAGGTAGGATACCACCATTGCCTCGTTCTGGATGCCACAGTGAAGTATGTTTTAACCCCTGGGGAACACTACGGCTGGTAGGCAATGGAAAAAGAGTCTACCCAGAGATATTAGATGCCATAGTGGAGATCAGAAATCTGTCAAGTGAACTCTAGAATTCTTGCTAATCTGGTGTCTTCATTATAGAAGTACTTAAACATAATATTAAGGTTTTGTGAAATTGGTTTTGTTGACTGGAAAGCATCCTATTTAAAAGAACCACTGTTGGGGTGCCTGGGTGGCTCAGTTGGTTGAGCGTTGGGCTCTGCACTGAGCGTGGAGCCTGCTTAAGATTCTCTCCCTCTTCCCTTCCCCCACTTTCTCCTCGCTCTCAAAATCAAAATCAAATTTAAAAATAAATAAAAGAACCATTGTTTTCTCCAGTTCTCATCCCAGAAACTTCTGGAGCGATTCATCCATGCTGCTGGCAGAATTTACCAATTAGCACTTGCATTTACAACCTTCCTGTTGAAGAGCACCATGCCACGTGAGGGTTAGAGGACGTATGTCCGTTATGGAGATGAGTTCACTCTGTTTATCTGTAATACATTCCAAATGAACATCTTAAATGGTAATACCATGCTACCCTAACATTTCCACTTAGTACGGCTTGACCAATAGTAGCCAGATTGAGCAGAAAGAAGACACAGTGAGGTCTTTCTAGCAGCAAGGGGGGCCTGGTACTGGCTTCCCAATCTTTGGTCGGGAATTGCCCAAATGCATCATGCCTTGGGTTGGGATTAGTCTTGGCAACTGAGAGCCACATTGGGCAAGAGGCCCTGGCCAGAGCGAAGGGCAGGAAGGCCAGAGTCAGCCCTGTGGTCGAGATAATAAAACACCAAGACACTTAATGAAAGCTATTAGCCTAGCCACCTCATACTACCAATGGAAAAAGTTCAGAGAGGTGGTGGTTTACTCCAGGGTCAAGCTGTCAGTGGCAGAACGGCCTGGCACACACTTCTTTGAACGTTAATGTTTGAGCACACTGAGCACACAGCTTAGTGGTAAATAAATTCTGAGGGACAACTGTTTGAATTAATGACCCTTAGGAAACAAGGAGAAGGGCTGAGAACCTCGTTAACCCTGACAACCAACCCCCGTCCTTGTTCACTACCCAGTCCAATCCAATTTGCTTATGGAGAAGAGTGTGTTCAACAAGTTTTGAGGGGCTCCTGGGTGGCTCAGTCGGTTAAGTGTCTGACTCCTGATTTTGGCTCAGGTCGTGATCCCAGGGTTGTGGCATCAAACCCTGGCGTCAGGCTGTGCGCTAAGCACGGAGCCTGCTTAGGATTCTCTTTCTCTCTCTCCCCCCTCCCTCTGGCCCTCTCCCCTGCTTGCGTGCACTCTCTCTCTAAAATTAAAAAAAAAAATTTTTTTTTAATTAACAAACCCCAAATGTTGAACACCTACAAACATTTCCTGACAATTCGATGACGGCTTTCTCAAGCCAGTTTGCTCCAGGCTCTGTAATGTTTTGAAAACCATATATCGATATTGCGGGAATAGAGGCAACTCTGGGCTGTGCTGTCTCCTCCCAAGATTCACATCACCGCCTACTGTGGAGGACTCTTGCGTGTTTTATGTGGAACTTAACTGAAGTCGTGAAGTCAAACACGGCCTGGAATGATGAGAGTCAAGTTTATCCCAAAGAGTTTCATTTCCTCTATTTCTACTTACTTTACCAAATCTTTCTGCTCTCCACAAGTAAACCAGGCAGAGATTTGAAGGGCATTGCTTTATTCCAGAGCTGATCATTATTGAGGAAGATTTTGACTATCTTCCTTCACTTCCTCCCTCAGCCTCCTTCCTGGTGAGAGATGCTAATAAGAATGAGGGCGCTCATTAGCTAGTGGAGGAAGTGGGGGAAAAAAAAAAAAGGTAAAGGCTGTACATATTTTAGTTCATGTTTGGCATGCTTGGCCTTTATCTTCTGGTGGCAAGGAGAAAAAGAAGTGAAATTAAGGCTACAGATAAGTTCAAAGAAGGACTAAAACTGAAGAGAAGATAATAATTTTGTTCTTTTGGTCACTCAATGAGGCCTCTGTCCCCGTTGCTAGTAAAGGCCAAACAGGTTGGTTTTCTCCTACTGCCCTGTAGTGGGTAGAGACCGGTTTCCAACGTTGTCCAAAATGTCACCTCTGTGTGGAACGTTCCTTCCGGGAAAGAACGCTTTTCTGGCATAAGGTCAGGGAGAAGAAGCGGGAGAAAGGTTTCAAGTCTCCAACCCCAGGAGGAGCAGCACACCAAAGATGCCGTAAAACACAGGTGTGGCAGAGAGCCGGAGTCCAAGCCATGCCGCCTCAGAAGGCGCGCCAAGCTAACGTTCACCCGTCCCGGGCCGGGTTCTGCCCAGAGAGGAGTATTCCGGTGCTTCTTGTCAGTAAGAAATAGCGAAACCCAGCTCATCTAGAGGGAGGCCACATACACCACATTGTCTTTGCAGAAGTTTTCCAGGAAGAACTGGACCGGCTGGATGGTCTCCAGACCACCCCTGGCCAGGGCTCCAGGCCAAGGAGAGCTGGGCGAGTCTGAAACGTCTGGTCGGGGCCGTGTCCAGTGTTCAGGTCTTGAACATAAGGAATCCCCCGAATGTCGTGCCTGGCGGGTGTCTCTTTACTACGGATCCCTGGGTTAACTCAAACCACACTCTCTCGCCTTTTTGCAGCTCGGCCATGGCAAAGGTTGTTGCCGTGCTTCCGCCCTTCCGCTCCTCAGTGGAACCGACAGGGGTCTGATGGTGACCTCCAAACACCAGCTGCCCTGTACCTGGCCCGGGGCCAAATTCAATGCTCACTGCAAACAGGTAGACCCCGCGCTCGGGGGCTCGGAAGTAGCCGTGTTCGGGGAAGTAGCTGCTGCCAATGTTGACGTAGGTAGTGTTGAACTTCACTGTCTGCAGGGCGGTCGTCCCTTCTGAAAAGCTGGCATAGAAGGCCACAGGGGAGCCTGGAATGCAGGACGAAAGCGCTCAGTGACTCAATCCCTCACTCCCTTAGACGGCAAATTAAACCCTGAGACCTGCCTTTCTCACCTTGTTAACAGTAGGAATAAGCCACTATTTCTAGATACCCTACGGGTTCCCAATAGCAACCTCAGAGAGTGGGAGCCAACGGGCCAGCACTCACCATGTCACTGAGAGAAAGGAAAATACAAGTCTGTTGTCTCTCCTGGTGTACGTTTTTATTTTTTTTTTTAAATTTTTTTTCAACGTTTATTCATTTTTGGGACAGAGAGAGACAGAGCATGAACGGGGGAGGGGCAGAGAGAGAGGGAGACACAGAATCGGAAACAGGCTCCAGGCTCCGAGCCATCCGCCCAGAGCCCGACGCGGGGCTCGAACTCACGGACCGCGAGATCGTGACCTGGCTGAAGTCGGGCACTTAAACGACTGCGCCACCCAGGCGCCCCCCTGGTGTACGTTTTTAAAAAGCACTTCCTCCTTTGCTCCCTTTTCCTTCTAGCATCCTGAGAGGCAAGTACCCTTCTTTGAGGAAACTTTGAGTCTTGAGTGCTTACCCGGTTGTCCAAAGCTACGTGGCTTGCCAATGGCAAGCTGGGACAGGACCCGGGTCTCCGACTCCCAGACTACTGCCACCTACTGGGGATCTTGAGATCTCTCCAAAAGAAAATAACCCCTATCCTCAAGGTAATCATGCTAACGCTGGTGAGAGGATGAAAGAACCCTGAAGGGTCCTTCCTCCTGGATGTTTGGCACAAGACCTTAGAGACAGGACAGCAGGTAGGGCTGGGCAAGAAAACTCTTCGAGCTGGTCATCTTGTTTTCCAACCGTTGCACAGAGCTCCGGGATTACAGATGGGGACAGGGGCCCAGAGAGGGAGCACTTGCTCCAGGTGACACAGATCATAAATTACCACACTGGCAGCTGTCTTTGGATCTCCTGATCTCTGGTGCTCTTCCCATTGCAAGAAGCATTTTAGGGGCGCCTGGGTGGCGCAGTCGGTTGAGCCTCCGACTTCAGCCAGGTCATGATCTCGCGGTCCGGGAGTTCGAGCCCCGCGTCGGGCTCTGGGCTGATGGCTCAGAGCCTGGAGCCTGTTTCCGATTCTGTGTCTCCCTCTCTCTCTGCCCCTCCCCCGTTCATGCTCTGTCTCTCTCTGTCCCAAAAATAAATAAACGTTGAAAAAAAAATAAAAAAAAAAAAGAAAAAAAAAAGAAAGAAGCATTTTAGCCAGCCATAGGAGGACAAGTGAGACGAAGAGAACATAGGCGTGAGGCCTGCCAGGGCCACGTGCAGGCTTGGAGCCAGAAGGAGCCACTCTGCGTAGGGGGGTGAGCGTACAGTGAGGAAGGAGCCAACCCGGCTGCTTGGCCAAGACTCTCAGGCAGGGGAGGACAGGGCCAGGAGACGGGAAGGGTGAGTCCCACTGGGGTTCTGGCCACGACACTGGCCTTGGCACCAATGAGGTGATGTTCCTCACGTGCTCCCTCAAGTCTCTATCTCTCTGTATCTCTCTCTCTCTGTCTCTCAGAGGAGACCAAACTTCCCCACTTCTTAGGGGATAAAACCAAAGCCTAAAGGAGGGGCAAGCGGCATAGTGGTTAGTGACTTGATCCCACCTACAGCCCCAGCTCTTTGGCTCCCGGTCCAGCAATAGTTTTGTGAATGTCAAATTTCTGCTCTTCTTTAGTTCTGGAAGATTTTCTGAGAATTAGGAAGTTTGGAATAGCTTTCCCATTTGTGGAAGATCACAGGCCCGCTGCTGGCTCTGCAGTTCACCCAGCGTCCAGGAGGTGGGGCGCTCGGCCAGCCGAAGGAATGCCCGCCCGGCGCGCCCTCTGCCGGTACTCGGCACTCTCTCCACATGTTGCAGCCGGCCTGCCGCCCAGAGTTCAGCCTTACCGACCACCCCCCACCCCCCGGGGCCCAGCCTGCCCCGCAGGAGGCTGATGAAGGGCTGTGCTTCACTGATTTGCTAGCTGGAAAACTGACAGTGGGCTTCCCTGCGGGGCACAAAGTGATTTTCCCATTTTACAGAGGGAGAAACTGAGACAAGGAAGTGGTGCTAGAGGCGGTCCACTGCCCCCAGGCACACGAAGGCCTCCAGGGTCGTGATGGAGAATGACAGGAGCAGGAAGAGCTTGGGATGGGATCCTCAGACCTCCCACATGCCAGGCTACACCAGCATACAGACAGCCCAGATGGCAGCCCTGTACTCAGTCCGGTGTCTGGATGAGGATGTGGCCATAGCCCCAGGGCCAGCCTCTCTGGCAGGGGGGAGTCACTTGAGGCATGGAGTCTAGTGGTCTCCTTCCCCAGGCCACATTCAGGGAGGGGCCAGGATGGCTGGCTGCACATCACATCAGCCTCAGAGCCAGCTTCCCAGGCCCAGGGTGCCGGGGCCCTGCAGGGACCCGTCGTCAAGGGCCTTTCACAGGAGAAGAACCAGCATCCTAGAGACAGCTGGACAGGGTTCAGGGCTCCCTGTGCCACTTACTAGCTGTACGAACTAGCAGGACACTTGCCCTGACTGAGCCTCAGTTTCAGGTAAGATGGCAGTGATGACAGACTGTTGAGCTGTTATGATGACTCCGCGTGGCAAAGCCCACGGAAGGCCTGGCGCAGAGCAGCAACATGGGTCTACTATGTTAGCAGGACAAGCTCCTTTCAGGGCCCAAGGCCTTCCCCTGTATTCTCCTCTTGCCGAGTGCTGCCCATGGCCAGTGACACCAGTCCCTAGTCACATATTTGTATACAGGGGAGCTGATTAAAGACACAGGGGGTGAAGCAGGGTGGAGGGGAAGAGCTGGGACGGAGAGATTTGAGGCTGTGGCCTGCGGGGAAGGGAGGCATCCCCCTCCTCGCTCTAGTGGCTGAGTGGCAGACAGCTCCATGGTGTATATACGGGCCTCAAACGTTTACATGGAGGGCCTCTGCCTGCTCATTGATGGTTGGTTCTGGTGACTTCTACCTGCTTACACTTCCGGTAGCTTAAGAGGCCCCTGGCCGTCAATGAAAGGGGGATCTGGGCAAAGCGGGCCCTGAGTACCCCTGAAGGATGCTCACCTTGTTCTCTTTCATCTGGTCTTCTCCGAGGCAAAAGAGCTGCCAGCAGCCAGCCCTGTCCTCCCCAACTTACCCAGCTACACCCCCCCCCCCCTCAGGAACTCACCTGCTTCCCAAAGCACGGGCCCTTTGATATGTGCATCCGCCCTGGGCTCTGCTTCCTTCCTGTCCCTCCTCCGGGAAGCTTCCAGACCTTTCTGCCGCTTCTTCCCTTTCTTGCTCAGCATGGCCTGCAGCTTCCCCAGGTCCAGGCTGACGTTGACTGCCAAAAGCCCTTGGAAGTTTCCGAAGAGGCTGTGGAAGAGGCGCTGGTGCTGCTCCAAGTCGCGCTCGGTGGCGGACAGCGCCTCCTGCAGGCCCTCCAGGGAGCTGTTGAGGGAGGAGACCCCGGGGGCCTCGCAGCAACGGCCCACCCTCTGGAGGTCGGCGTCCAGGCGCTCCAGCTCCTGCGCCAGCCCGGCGGGGACCCGCCCGCCGGCCTCCCCCGGCGACGCATCGCGGCCCCCCGCCGCCTCCGCCGCCGCCTCCA